CTCGGAAGGGAACCCCTTAACCCTCACCACCCTGACAGCATGCTCTGCTGCTCCACATCCTCCTGCCTCCTACCTATGCTCCTCAAACAGCTCCCCCACTCAGGATGCCTTCCCATGCACACCTCAGGCCTCTTCATGCTCAGCCATATACTTCAACCCCTTTGACCATCCAACTCTAACGTCCTAGAACCACAAGCCTCTTTATTCCCCTCCTCCAAACAAAGTGCACCTCCTTTCCACGGTTTCCAGTGAGCTTCTGTAAAGCCCCAGGGTTTCCCCCTGACCCACTGTAAGGTCATAAGCTACTCCACTCATTTTCCTGCACCCCTTGCTGTGAGGATCACACCCCTGTTCTCCCGCCTCCACAGCCATGGCTCATATCCAGCATCCTGCACCCCCAACAGCTGGTTCCACAGCTGCCCTCCATCCCAACAACTGACCAGCCTTCACTGCTGTACCTGACCGGGGGTGGGGGAGGGAGGGAGAGGGGAATAGGAACCATCTTCCCAGAAACTGATCTCTAGACCTTAGATAAAGAATGGCCTCTGATTACGCTAGGTTTTGGGAATGACACCTAACTGAACCTTTTTCTCATGGCCTCTTGAAGCAAGCATGATATTTGCATCAGATAACAGGAAGCACAGTATTGTCTTACTAGCAACCACTCCACCATATAGCTTCTGTTCTAGGTTAAGCGGACAAACAGCAAGCAAAACAGGGATTAGAAACTTGTTACTGTCTTATTTTGTTGGGATGGTATAAACTACCTGTCTTTACGGATAGCAGTTATGTAAGGATGCTCAGAGAATGAGTACTTAATCTAAAAACAATCCAAAAAAAAGTTACCAGTTTTTATTTAAAGGCTAAAGAGAAAAGTACAGTGCAATAGTTCCCCCTACTGACAGCACAAAATCAAATTATTAATCAGTGTTATTTCCTGGGTGGTCCTCAAATTACTAATTTAGTGTCCCGATGTGGTACCTACACAAGCTTACGGGTACACAGTAAACCATGAGAAAATCTGCTGCCTTAGAAAATGATGAAAATTTGCCAAATGGTAGAGAACAAAATTTGACAAAACTCCAGTTGATCCCTAAGATTTTTTATCACGTATACAAAACGATGGTACACAGTCCTATGGAAAGATTATAAAATGTGTGTGAGTGTATGTATTCTAAATGAAATATCAGGATATCCATCAGCAAAACCAGAAATGTAAGTGAAGTGCAGCTGTATAGCTTCCTCTACTTGCTGAAATCTTAAGGAAAGATAGCAGGTCTGAGCAAAGACTTGCCAAACTCTGGCTGTATTTGGGAACTGACCTCCTCGGACAGAGAGCAAATCTGACATTCAGTCTGGTCCCCAGTTCCCAACAAAAGGCGGTGAAAATATTGTCATTCTGCTCTAGTGTCAGCTCTTTTGAGCCAGTGGCAGCTGAGTTAAATCAGAACCAAGAACAGGCACTTTCAGAAGTCAAAATGCAATTTGGGACTAGATGTGCGTCTGGTCATGAACAGCAACAGAAGCATTCCTTCAGCCTTATACACCTAGCTTTTGTTTCTGGGTTGTAAAGCTAACGTGATTTTGCACTGTGCTCATTTAGGGAAAAAAAAAAAAAGAGGTTGAAGAAAATCCTCTAGTATATTACAACCTCATCTCACTTGAAAAGGGTAATGAACAAATATGCAGTGATACAACATAAAAGAATAACAGAAATAAATAGTCTGCTGAAATATATACCAAACCACACAATTCTATAAATCAGGATTTTGCAAACTTCTGTTATGATCCTGGCTCTCTGTATACAAATACACCTGAAAGATTGCTAAATGGTATTAAAGAGAATGCCAAATCTCCTTTCAAGCACATGTACAGTGAATATGTCTACCCAGCCAATACTCAGACATGGGTCAGCTGCCGACACCTGTATATGATCTTTTAAAAGTTGCCTGTGTATCAAAGCTTCTCACCTCACTTTCAATTCCCCGTCTGCTCTCTCTGGAAAATATAATTACACATCAATAGGGACACGCACCTTCCTCTTAACTGCATCTCCAGCACCTCGCTTTTCCACTTGAACATGGTTTCATGTTCCTCCCAGTGCACAGAGAGTGTAATACCCATCAAACGGCTCCCTGGTGGGTTCTGTGAGCATCCCCTCTTACTCCAGGTTTGCACAGCCTGGTGCAGAAAAACCTTTCTCATGACGGGGGCTTCTGGTAAGACGAAATATGACAAATAAAACTACAGTCAGTCAAAAGGACCCTCTTTACGGTAGATTGCAACTGCTTCGCATTGCGCCACTCAAGCTCTCTGTGCTGAGGTCAGATGGATTTGAAACGGTCATAATTTACCATTTTCCACTCACTTTGGTTTTAGCAGCATTGCACCTGCTATTATAGAAATCCTCTCTCCAGTAATATACTTCTTCAGGGAAAAAATACTTGGAGCATGTCTCTGTTGCCATAACCCTTGCCGTAAGAATATTACTTACAGATAGGCGGTTGGATCGTTAACTCTTTAGGGTGAGGACCAAATCTTTTCTCTTGGAGTGAAGCTCCAGCACCCCAGGCAATACCTGAAGCGAGGGATGCTGTAGGCAGCCGGCCTGCAGCGCCAGGCTCCTCGCAGGACGCCCTGTGCCCTTCGCCTGCTGTGGGCTGTGGCGGGGAGCGCGGGG